CTCGTGGACAAAGAAAGGGAGGAGGAGGAGGAGCAGCAGCAGGAGGAGGAAGAGGAGGAGGAGGGGGAGGAGGAGGAGGAGGAGGAGGAGGAGGAGGAGCGAGAGGAGAATGAGGAGGTGCCACATCCCTCCCTCTACCTTGCTCCCTCCTGCGTCTTCCTTGCTCCCCGACTGTCTCTGCAATTGCCTCCTGTTCTCATCTGTCACCTTTTCTATGCCCTCGCCTCATATGACCTTAATCCTCATCTCCTCCCCCCATCTATCTCGGCATGCACTCCCGCCCGTTACCTGATGCGTCATTTCGTAGAACATCCAGATTCTGCCTCTTCCCGCCTCCTGACGGTACGTCTAATTCTACCGGCTGTGCGATACCACTACTTGCCACCACGATTACCACGCTACTGCTGCCGGCACGGCTCGTACGACCACTACTCGCAACACGCCTACAGCTACTCTGGCGATGGCTGCTACGGCTACAACAAATGTTACCCTCAAAACCGCTGACGCAATACATATGTGATAACTACGACAACCGGTACTGCTTTTGGCCCCCCAACAATATCCTGGCGAAGGACCCAACCATATGCAGTTGTGGGCACCGCAATTGTGAATATCTTCTTCGGTGGAGCTCCATATAGGGCCACGAAGCGCTGCACTGGGTGGGAGGGACCAATGCGGGTGGTAGCACTGGGGCCGTCGGTGGAGCTCTTTATAGGGCCACGAAGCGCTGTACTGGGTGGGTGAAAATGCCAAATTCGGTGTGTGGGACGCATGCGGACGGTCCTACTGGGGGCTCTGGTGGAGCTCCCTATGGGGCCACGAAGCGCTGCACCGGGTGCGCGAAAATGCCAAATTGAGCTTCTGGGACGCATGCGACGGTCCCACTGGGGGCTTCAGTGGAGCTCCCTATGAGGCCACGAAGCGTTGTACCAGTGGGCGGAAATTCCAAATTGGGCTTCCGGGACGCATGTGGGCGGACCCACTGGGGCTTTCGGTGGAGCTCTTAATGGGGCCACCTAACGCTATACTTGGTGGGTGGAAATGCAAAATTAGGTGTACGGGGCGCACGCGGACGGTCCCACCGGGGGCTTCGGTGGAGCTTCCTATGGTGCCTCGAAGCGCTGTACTGGGTAGGTGAAACTACCAAATTGGGTGTATGTGGGACGCATGTGGGCGGGCCCACTGGGGGCGTCGGTTGAGCTCCCTGTTGGGGCCACGAAACGCCGTACTGGGCGGGTGAACATGTCAAAGTGCGTGTGCGGGACGCATGCGGGCGGTCCCTCTGGAGGTTTCGGTGGAGCTCCCTATGGGGCCACGAAACGCTGTACTGGGTGTGGCGGACGCATGTGGTACCCCCCACTGGGGCCCTACGTGGAGGTCCCTATGGGGCCACGAAGCGCTGTACTGGGTGTGGCGGACGAATGTGGTACCCCCTATCTGGGGCTTTCGGTGGAGCTCCCTATGGGGCCCCAAGTGCTGTACTGGGTGTGGCGGACGCGTGTGGCCAACCCCACTGGGGCCTTGGGCGGGGCTCCCTACTATGGAGCCACAAAGCGCTGTACTGGCTGTGGCGGGCGCATGTGGTCACCCCCTTCGAGCCTTACCTGGAGCTCCCTATGGGGCCACGAAGCGCCGTACTGGGTGTGGCGGACACATGTAGTACCCCCCGCTGAGGCCTTGCGTGGAGCTCCCTATGGGGCCACGAAACGCTGTACTGGCTGTGGCGGACGCGTGTGGCCAACCCCACTGGGGCCTTGGGCGGGGCTCCCTACGGGGCCACGAGGCGCTGTACTGGGTGTGGCAGAGAAATCTGGTACCCCCACTGGGGCTCTACGTGGAGCTTCCTCCGGGGCCACGAAACGCTGTACTGGGTGTGGCAGATGCATGTGGCCACCCCCACTGGGGCCTTACGTGGAGCTCCCAATGGGGCAACGAAACTCTGTATTGGGTGTGGCGGACGCATGTGGTACCCCCACTGGGGCCTTACGTGGAGCTCCCAATGGGGCCACGAAGCGCTGTACTGGGTGTGCTGGACGCATGTGGTACCCCAGTGGAGACCTGACGTGGAGCTCCCAATGGGGCCGCGAAGCGCTGTATTGGGTGTGGCGGACGCATGTGGTACCCCCCTCCCCCTTGGGGCCTTACCTGGAGCTCCCTATGGGGCCACGAAACGGTGCTTTGGGTGTGGCAGACGCATGGGCTCTACGTGGAGCTCCCTATGGGGCCACGAAGCGTTGTACTGGGTGGGTGAAACGCATGGTGGAGGGAGGATGGGGATGAGGAGGGACGAGGAAGAAGAGACGCGGGAACCGTCTCTTCAAACCGAAGACCCAACACCACAGGATGGTTGGGAAAAACAGCGACTGCAACTACGGATGCGACTGAGAAAGCGGATGATAAGAGGACGGATGCGGACACACATCTTGCTACGACTACGAACGCGACTGCGACAACTCTTATTAATACGACTATGGAAAATCATGTGCCGACTAGGACTGCC